ACCGCTTTTTCCGAGATAAAAATTAATACAAGACAACATGGCTATCTCCAAACCCCAGAGCTGGAGTGGGCGTGACCGCTTACTATACTGGAAAGGGCGGCTGCAGCGCTTTGTAGAGACCTGATTACTACTGTCTGAAAACGGGATATTACCATTCGATACGATGGTAATCAAGTCTTTGTCCAGCGCAAGAAAAGGCAATAGATGTATTGAATCAAAATATTCCACGAAAGAAGCGTTCTACCGCGTTCAAGTGGTGCACCACGCAGCCACGCCTCCTACAGCTCTGGGATATGAAGTGTAATTTTGTATTTAAAAAAGATCCGCTCTTGTTTTTCCAACTCGGCAATATGTGAACCTCCCCATAATGTAACGAAAGGGGCAGTTTTCAACAAGTTTGGAAACCCCGTGCTGTACATTAAAACGTAGCGGATGGGTACCTGTGTACCAAATAACGCTGTAATTGTGAGCGCACCCACCACCTTTTCAAAGAGGTTTGAACGTCCACCAAAACAAGTTGAGTAGGCGCATGAGCTAGCAGGAAGGGGAAAGCAGCTCCAAGCAGGCAGCCTCAGGCAAAGTTATAAGTAACTTGTTTTGTTTCGAAGGGCGCGCACAAAGCGACTCAAGATGGTCTGACCGCCTTTAGACTGAATCACAAGCGTCCCTCCTCCTTTCCTTGGCTGCCAAAGCAAATAAGCATTGCCTGTCATCTTGCGCTCGCACAAAGAGGAAGAATGCGTCTCTGCCGTGTTCGCTGCTGGCATGATGACAGGTAGCTCGTCTACCACGCCAAAGCGAGTCTCGGAAAACGTGCCTCATTTCGCAGGTCTTCAAATGTGTCTTTGAGTTTCCTTCATTTCCACTCAGCACTTTCCCTACATTTTGGTCCGCTAACCAAATCAGCATACTCTCTTCCTTTAATTGGAACGAGGTTTAAGAGCGAAATCTTTGAGTGGCCCACGCAAGTAATGTTCCAAGCCAAACACTTGTTGAATTTGAAGTGAACCACCTACAGAGATATTCGAAAGCAAACCAGCAATCTCCTTTTTGGATTGACTTTGCATTCCAATCATCCCTCTTTCCCCTCTCAATTTTTTCCTCGTGCAGCTTGAGATCTGTAGTGCTAGACAATGTAACTGCAGAAGCTAGCCGTTGAAAAAATGTTGTTATCGGGTTGCAAAACGAAATAAGGGAGCAGGAGTGATGCCACAGGAAATCTGTCATGAGCGAGTTCAAACAAGTGTTTAGTCCTCAGGTGGTGGGTGGGGGACACGCGCCGGCTGCCACAGCTCCACCATTGTCCAGTGGAGCAGTAACTTTGATCGCCACAGCAAACTATCACAGTCCTACTCAGAATCAGAGTAAACGCGTCAGAGGTGGTTTTGTACAGTCCTGAGCAACTATTGCGGAGTGTAATTTTTCCTCTATTTGAATTTCGAAGCATAAAATCACTTACCACTCGATTATGAGTGCCAGAACCACTAACGTGAAGCATATGAGGAAGGCATGCCGTGCCCATCTAAAGTTTGTTTTGTTTAAAACGTTGAAGAAAGCATATTACGACTTGAGGGACTCACCGTGGAACTGAATGATCTCGTGGTTCACCCTTCAATTCATGTAGCTCTCTAAGAGCATGGCCAATATCATCGACAAGATCTTCCACAGCTTTCTGCAGTGGCCATCCTGCAATTGTGCCATGATGGACAGTCAGTCAAAGCAAATGACGACTACTTACTTTGAAATCAAAAAATAGTAAGGGATTCAGAGAAGGACGTTTTAGGCCTGAATAGCTGAAGGAATCTGGCTTCACATGAGGACTTCACCCCTCTGAACTCATAGATTTCTGCTGTATCTGAACGCAAAGGGAGACACTGTGACCCTGACAATTTGGCTTATCAGATGCTGTAGTACAGGAAATTCTAGTCACGACGCCGCCAAAAAGAAACTGGCTCAGCATTCCCATGCCAGTTGATTTGAAGCTCTGCAACATCCCTCGACGAATCAGTTGGGTCCCTACGCAAATGCCGCGCACGTGGTGCCATTTGCCGCGCTCACATCGCCGCTCTCGCCGCAATTCAGGTGCGCTGGTACGTCTGGATTGCGGCGACAGACGGTGCAGCTGATGCACTGATAGTTAGTGATTATTAGATTTACCACACGCCGAGCTCATGGAGCCGAAGGCGAAGGAGAAGCCAGAGAGGACGCCAAAGCAGAAGCAGCAGGTTTTCAGGATTGGCATCTTGGCTTCACAGACGTTAACGTGGTCGAGGAAAGTTGCCTGACGACAGTTTCGCTCAAGGCGGCGCAGTGCATCTCAAAGACGATCGAGCAGGCGCGGAAACTCACGAAATTTCAGGAGAAAATTACGCCGTGGTCGTGACAAGCGTCCAGAATCGGATGGCGGCTCGACGTCGATGAGGCCAAAAATGACGAGGAGAGTCGCGCGGTTGCAGGACAAGAAGATGAAGAAGCGGTTGCAGGTTCAGCCGAAGAGCCGTTCATCCTTTAAGGCAAGTGGCTTGATCAATCTGCAGGACGTGTGAGATAGAATTGAGCAGGCGCTGCGTGGCTCCTTTACAGGGCATGCACTCTTATAGCGCCCTATCAAGCTGCAACATAGTGACCCGGACGTCCATCGTGCCCGTTCGCCCACAAATGGACGACCGCACCTAATGCTGTTAACGCTTCTACTGAGCTTAGTATGAAGCGAGATTGATATGAAGCAGCTGCGGTGCCGCATGGATATATGGATGCATACAAGCAGCCGCATCTACCGTAGCGGTGACTGGCACGATGCCAACGGGAAACTCGTCCAAAATTGCTCTCTGTGTCATGAAAGACTAACGCTTTCTTGCATTCATTTTGTTTCTTCACCGTTTCACTTTGTTCTTTTGCCGCTTTCCCCACTATATAGCCACTAATAGCAACCTGCTAGCTGTTAGACCGAGTACCAGACTACCGTGCCATATGCTAGCCCATAAGCACAAATTAGTGTTCAAACGGGTTACAATAAACCAACTTGTAGGGATGACTATCGGAGGTCAGCCATAACGCTCCTGACTAGGGAGGTCGTTCAGGACGTGGAGCGCTTTTTGAAAACGGTTTTTTGCATGATGTGGGGTCACGTGCATGGAGTACCAAACTGGTGTTCATTTTTCCTGAACGCCTCTGGGAATGCCAAAAATGGAGTGAAAAAGAAGTCCATGGAAACCGACTGTTTTTGAGCCTGAATGGGCTCTAAATCACTCGCAACTTCGGCCAGTTGCTGCCTATAGGGTCCTTATAAAGGTTGTACTGGTATCGATGAGAAAAGTGGTCGTCAATGGGGTCTTACTTGTGGCACGTAGTTAAGAGTCGACGGCCAATTGAATGGGCTCTTAAGCAATCGAAGTGGTGCCTGTGCCAACGATCGGATGGCCTAGTGGATAGCGTGGAGGATTCCCAAGCAGGGCACGCCATCTTTGTGATCATCACAACAGGGGGGTCGTATTTGCCCGCGATGGAGGGGGGGGGTCGTAAACGCATGGCCCATGTTGAAGTGGAGAGAGCGGTGATACACGGTACGAGTGAAAAGAAGGTCAAAAGGGACGACTTCCTCACAAAAAAAACCTCAAGACACTTCGCCCACCAACCCTCCTCATCTGGTCTAGATAAATCCCAATCCACTAATTCGCAAAATCTAGAAAAGAATCCATTGCAAAAGCTACCTATGAAAGCGTAGAAATTGAATCTTGAGCAATTTCCTCACAACAAAATCAAGCGCAACAAAACAAAACCAAACTCAACAAAAACAAACAATCAAAATAACTCACAATCAAATAAGAAAAAGAATAAGATAAGAAAAAAACTCACCAGGCCAGCTGGGAACCGGAACTATGGATTACTTTTGAATTTTGGCTGTTCGCGGTCAGCGCGCTCATACAAGCTCATTGGTGCGCGCTATTTTACGGCCTGGAGCCAATTTCAAGCCAAACACGTGAAAAGTACCCCTCATTTGAACGGCCCCATAACCTTCGTTGACCCAGTGAAGGCTTTCTCGAGAGAGGTGAAGTGGAAATCGCGGTAGAGCTAAGCGCTTGGGCTGCTACTGTCACCCCCATGATATTGAGCCGACTTTGAAATCTGTTCAGATCCAGAGAATTTCTCCGTTGTGCATCATCTTTTGCTGAATCCCATCTGTCGATGCATCGTTGTGCTACCCGCTTGGCGGCGCCGGAGTCGCTACGCTTTGCGACGCTACTATGCCAAGCTTCATACACGACGGCTTTTGTAAAAAAAAAGAAATCGTGGCCGGGAAGCTTGAAGCCCTTGTTTACTTCTTCGCAAGCGCTTAAGATTTTACATATTCCTTCTAGACTACACTATTCGAAAAATTCCCCTGTTGTGATCAACTATGTAGCATCACCCCCCACGACACCGGAAAAATCAACCGCCCCTTTTTCGAGGCCATGACAACCTGCCGTGGCTCGCGAGGTGATGACTTTAGGTAATGCTATCCTACAAGAGAGCACTGTTTCTATCGCTAACAGAGGGTATCAGGAATAGGGGCGCCATTGGCCGGCCCAATTGGCATGCAGCCTCTGCAAATGGGCGCGCTAGCCATCGGGCCTTTCACGGCAGCGTGTTTGAAGCGTGTAATACTTCTACGATAGCGCTTCCGCAATTGCAAGCAAAGTGCCTCGTATGATCAGAACAGTCCGAGAACTGTACTTTCATTGCGGTTTACTAGTCGCGTCTAACAAGTCGTGACGTCCTTATTGCTTAATTGATCAACACTTCATGGTGCCACTTGGCGGCGGCGGTGATTTGTAGCTCCCTATCATCGTCCTACTGCCTCTGACGTATTGTCAGTTATCGGCTAACTCACGCCAGCGCCAGAGTCGGTGGAGCGTGCTCTGGCCGACGCTACGTGGTATGCGGCGACTCCCGCGCTCCCGAGAGGGGGGTCGTACATTGAAGCATGGACTTATAGGGGGTGAGGGTGTTATTTTCAGAGAGAATGACTCACGAACCGCAATGGCGTGCCCCTGAAATTCCGCAAGGCCAGCCAGTCGGGCTATCGGGATGATGCGCTTTCGGATTCCCTTGGCCTCGCCAGCCTTTTGCATTTTTTATTTTCCGTTGTTGTCGCTTCCATATACGTCTGTTAATGAATTTTACTCGGATATCTGCCATATATAGGCACATTCTAAATAGTTATAGCGCGCGATAGTCGGTGCTATCTAACCAGCTACATGTCGATTTACCAACCAATGTCTGAAAGTTGAGCTTCTATACTGTTCACTCGGTGCGCCTGATGTCACGACTATAGCCAATTTAGCTTATCAGCTCTAGTGCCATTTATCCCTCATGTGGAGGCGCAGTCTTTCTGCCCCCTCCGGAGGTGCTGCTATGCGTAACTTGACGTTTTAAGGATATGCAGGGCCATTCTGAACTGCCAAGATTGGGATTGACGTCAAGAATAAGTGTCAGAATCGTGATCAGGACCATCGATTACCCCTATAGGCAAACTTTCAGCCAAAAAATTTTTTTTGACTTTTTTGAGTCTGTGCATTGGGTTATGCTCAAGAGTCACTTTGTTGAAGTCGTACTTTTGCTGGTTATCGAAACCCTCATTCAGTGTGCGTACCCCGAACAAAAAAACTAGCAAGTCAAGCCCATAAACGCCATGCGAAAAACAAAAGACAGCAGAATAAGTGCCATCGCATTCTGCCAGTGCACTTTGAATGCAAAAATCGAATGAATCTCCTCGTTGAGGGGAGGACGGAACATCATTCGAGTTGAGGGCGAGAGAAGTCGTGGGGTCGAGAACATACCAGATAGTTTCTCACTTGTTCTGACGGCCTACACGCATGCGCGCCATCGGCCAAGATATGAATGGACCATATAGCAGCGACACCTCCGCAGATGCGGCTCGGCGCCCGGCGCCTCACCACCCGTCATCGCTACGATCATCGCAACCTCCTCCACCCAGTTGTGTGCTCCGCGCGACGGATCATGCACCGACGACGGGCAAATGGTCGTCTATCACAACATCAAATCAAAAATTTTTATTGGCCGAAAGTTTGCCTAATAGGGTAATCGACCTGTCGCTATATCACGATTCTGACATGTGTCTATGACTCATACTGACCAATCTAGCGGCAGATGGCCCTAGAGTCCTCAACCCGATGTTACATAGTGACTCAAAGTGGAGATAAGACTTGCTCCATTGGGACTATCGGTGCCACTAATACGGTACCCATTGCAGTTGGCGACGCAGGCCTTTATCTCCATCCAATACCAGTACCTTTCATACAGGACCACCTATAGGCAGACAACTGGCGCGAATTAGTTGCGCAAGCGATTTAGGGACCGCGACCATCTTCAAAACTCAAAAACATCGGGTTTCCGAAAATTGGACTGTCTGTTTCACTCCATCTTTTGGCCATTCCGAAGGCGTTCAAGCGAAAAGATCGACAGCAGTTGGTACTTCCATGCACGTATACGCCGCACATCATCGCAAAAAACCGTTTGCAATATAGCGCCAATAGTCGCTGAACGACCCTCCCTAGTGAGTGGGTAACAAATGCAGGTGTATCCTATCGAAATGAGGAAATGTTGCTTTCTGACCCTTACTTCCTTGAGAATTCCAATTGCATCCTTCTCAAGGAGATGTCCCTTTCATACCATTTCAAACTGCATTTTCTCGCTTATATGTTCTAAAATCATGTTTCGGTCTGCTCCAATTCAATAATGGTTTTGGTCCCCTATGTTTACTTTCCCCCGAGACCACTTCAAAGAGCGTGCAGAGTTCTTACGAAAAGCTGGACCAAAGTGAGGATGGCCGCCAGACTATTTGCGCTAACTTGTTAAATTCTGCTCAATTCCGCGAATCGACATACAGAAAGGCAGCCGCCCGCCGTTGCAACGCAGCAACACAAACGTCATTTATCTGATGTATCCTGCTCGATCGGATGCAATACTGGAAGGCATTGCTAAGCATACTAGTTCCGTGTTTGCGCATGGGACATAAAAATTCATAAAAAAAATCCTACGAGTCTGTTACACTTCTTGTTTGGCCAGAATATGTCAGCCAAAGTCTTACATTTACAGGCTTTTCAAATCACGTCATCCAAACTGCTGATTCAGTTCAAAAGCACTTCTCTTTGTGATCTGAGTGAAAAAAATACATATGCGTTCTTTAGATTACATTATTTTTTTTGAGAAATTGAGATGAAAGGGTACCTCCATTCAGAATCATAGTGGCTTATTGAATGCGGTAAGACCAATACAAATGCTTGCGGGGCCAGTCGATGTACAAGGCAGTGTGCTTATCCTCCCTGACGAGCCTGGTACCAATAACGAGGACAGAAGGCTTGGTTGGCTCGAGCGGGAGTCGATCTGGTATTTGAACCCTGGACCGCACGGGTGGTAACCGCGCCACTTGTCACTACACCACCTCCGCCTCGCGGGATTTTTACAAAACTTGCATTATAAAACAAAGCAAACAAATATTACTGTAATGCCGTGAGCCTCATGTTTCTTCTTGTCAGCCTTTGTCAAACTGCAATCACTTTCTGCCAGCCAATAAGAATCCTCGTTCCACCTACTATATCACTTCTTAGAACCAAACATCACTCTCACTGTGCTCATTAGTTCGATGAGATGATGCTTCCTTTCTAACGCCCTTTAGAGCCGTCAAACATACAGTAGGATGAGGATAAGGATTCCATACTCATTTCCAGGGTACCAACATTCCGGAAGGGAGGCAAGCTATCACCTCTTATTAGACCCCAGTAATGTGGAGTCTACCGCTAAACTTGCTGCTCATTGCTGTCTCTCCCTCTGCTGAGTCTTCCCTGCTGAAGTTTCCGGTTTCAGCGCGTCCATTTTCCCAAGGCACTATTTTCGTGTCGTATTTGAATATCAGAGTGCGAATGACATTTGGAAATTAAGAGTGTAAAAATCTATGTTGTTTACCAGAGAAAAGTACAAAGTTACTGAATTACATGGTGTGGAGGGGCGTTAGTCTGGCGTAGAAACCTCTTCCTATTCCGGGAAAAAAACATGAAATGAAAGTGTGACAGAAACATAGGGTTCTGGTATGATAGAAGTTGATGTCAGATGACATCATAGTCAAGATCAATATTATCAATTATCGAAATCAATAGAATCATGGGTTCTCAGAAAGAGGGTTGTAGATGTTTTACTGGCATGAGCGCCAGTTTCAGAAATGATGCGGAATATCCATGACAAATAGGCAAACACTTTCATTTAATCACAAGTTCAATCTCATTACTTCCTACTGGTGCGTTAAAGACGAGCCTTGCGATTGCATACTGCGGCCAGGGGCGTTCAATAACGAACCTATAATCGCCAAGTGATTTTCCAGTGAGAAAAAAACCAAAAAAAGTCATGGAGAACCCGTAAGATCCCATGACAACCTCGCGGTACGAGTTGTTCGGACTTGCTCATTTTGTGCCAGCAAAGCGACTAGTGATACCATCTAACATTGAAGAACAAACGAGAACATGGTGTAAATCTGAATTTGTTACAGAAAATAGTCTCTAAGCTTTAGTGGGTGGAGCGACTAGGGAGGCGTAAGAATTGCCATGCTTACTGTGGAGCCGCGAAAGCGTGACAATCTTGGAAACTGAGAGCTAAACTACCTGTACTACGAAATGCTCGTGCGGGGGACTGTTTTTAAGGATTCGCAGTACATATTAGTATGCTAATCAGTCTTTCCCTAAGGTTCGCAACGATTGCGACATCGGTAGAGACTCGAAATGGCCTTTGAGAAGTTCGGTTAACTGGATTACTTTCAAGGTACAGTCGGATTTACTTAAATCAGCAATTATGCGTGCAAACTAGCAAATAAGTTTCTAGACAGTTGACTTGACGCACAGCATCACTTTCCGTTAAAACAATTAGCTCCTAAGGTGTGTAATGAGCCTATGGAAACATTTGCAGCGAATTGTTCGAGGCCCTCGCACACAATTGCTAGCGTCGTTGTGCGAAACCCATCACGGGGTTGCGGCTCCGAGCAAAGTCCTACGATTGTTGCCCACCTGGCTGTAAGCAAGATTTGGGCTGAGTAAGAGCAGCGAGACAGCACACAAGCAATAGAAAATACAGGCACCAATGCAGGGCAGAGTCACTTGCGCTCAGGAGGTACCTTTAAAGCAATCTTGCACCTTAAAGTAGTTGGCACGATAAATCCCCCAAGACGATGGGATTAATACGCCTGGCAGGACGGAATTCCGCGACCCTGAGCAGGCGCTGCATAATGCCTTTTCCAAGGAAGGTGCCCTTATAAGGGCCCTATCAAGCCACAACATTACGACCCAAACGCCCGCCACGCCCGCCCGCCCACAAATGGACGACCGTTCCTGACGCTCTAATCGATTCATTTGCTAAGCAAATTATGAAGCGAAGGGATTGGTATGAAGCGGCCGTGATGCTGCATGGATATATGAGTACACATATGCAGCCGTACCTTCGGTAGCGGTTATTGGCAAGATGCCTACAGGAAACTCGTCCAAAATTGATTTCTAACACATTGAGAACGGAGGCTCTTTCTTCGCAGGATTTTGACCGTTTCACTCCGTTCTTTCGCCATTTCCCCACTATATAGCGCCCTACTAGCATTTAGGCCGAGCACCAAATCATCGTGCCAGTTGCCTTCAATCCTCTACAACTTTCTGACGCTAAGCAGATACAAGGTGGATCCTTAATCTCTACACTTCCCCAAGTGAGGCTCTGATTGAAAGCTAAATCCGCTGTCAAGGACTGATCAGATGAAGCAGTGGCTAGAAGCGTAACGCTTGAATATACCCAAAGACTAAATTCAACTTAACCAGGTCCATTTCTGCCATCAACTGTTAGCTGTTATTATTATGAACTCGCTTTACGAAAAATGCTGATTCATGGGTTCATAGTTCGTAATTTTTTTCAGGGTTTCCGAAATCCGACACACGGCTGAACAGAATTCCAGTCTGTGGGCCATCTCGAAATAGCAGGATTGGTTTCCATGATTTGGTTTTCAGGATTATTTATTTGTTAATTCATTGCTTTGTGATGATTGAGACTGCACTTGCACCGAACCCTCAGAGGAAATGGCCCGCAAATTGTTGCTTCTCTGCCCAAACAGTGACGTGAAAGCCAGACCTGCGCTGGTGTCCCTTGGGACTCCATAGCACGATTATGGAAGCGATTTTCACGATGAGATGGCAACGATGCATCATCTCTCGGCTTTTGATCCCTGGCAAGAAGGAAAACAAAGTGATCTCGTCCTTGAAAAATACGGGTGAACCCGCCCATCCGTTGAGAATGCTTATCCACGCTCAACGTTGATGCGCATTTGGTGGTCTATACTGCCGTGGAAACAGTGAGAAAAAAAGAAAGACTCACCCACAATCAATAGGTGGACAGTATTTTCATGTACAGTGAGCAAGCATCTTTCCCTATCCTCTAATTCTCATTGGGAATCCTGCCCTATTACGGAGTTTTTCGACCATCGCGATAGACCAGCACCCTTGACCAGTGCTTCCCTCCTCACTCAACTGATGTCTTTTTTCTTCGACATTCCTCGCTAAGGCTACGATCATACTTTGCGACTCGACGATTCAGTCTCCCGACTGATTGGGAGTGACGCGCCGTCGATAATATTTGGACCATTGCAATTTGAGAAAGAAGCTCCCCTGAAAGTGATTGCACTTGCAGCTGCAGCAGTCCGACGATAAGTAATGGATCGCGTACGCCCTAGCCTCGCACTTTTCAAATTTTCAAACGCGCGACTCGCTTCGGTAACGAAGTATGAATGTAGCCTAAGGATGCTGAAAGGCACAGAGGCGCTGATCAACACCTCAGCGGAATGCGCCATGTACTAGACTTCCTTTCCCAACACCAATCCTGCAGACTACATCGCTGCTGTGTTCAGTACTAATCTTCACAAAACCCGCCCTCCGAGGGGAGCCCTACGATTCCCCCCCCCCCTTCGGTCGCAAAATCTGCGATGTATGCTTCCCTAAACACCGAGAATTCCCAATCTACGTGCTACCCATGCTTCCTTTGAACTTTCACGGTAATCTAACAATGTCCCCCATCTGATAAAAAACGAGAAGAAATTAGTCAAATTAGTCGATTAGTTGAAGTCCCTAGGATTTTTCAAATTAAATGGTCACTTTCTAGTCTCATAATTCAGTTTCGAGCAAACATTCCTGGCACAAAGAAAAAGAGAAGGAGTCAAAGTTACCTTGTATTAAGGCGTTATTCGCTTCACTGGCTATATTGCTAAGGGCAAAACGTAAACGCGGTTCACCTGAACGATTAAAGCTTTAAGCATGATTGGCACATATGATGAAATCTACCTGCATTTTACTCGATGACATACCAGTATGAAGTCGTACATAGGGAATTCTTCTTGGGTCATTTATAAGGCCATCGAGCACCATTAATGCAAGAACATTAGGCTGTGTACATGTGTCGTCAATGGCAAACCAACGCTCATAGACTTTCCATGCGTATACCTGAAATTGTTAGCATAGCCAAAAATTTTGCCTCTGGAGGGATCTTGACCACGTAAACACACACCCATCTGGGGCCAAAACTTCTGGCATCTACGCTACGTGCGCCGACACCAGGAGCCACTTCGGCGCTAAAGCTTGTAGCGCCAAGCGAAGAGGATACTCATGTTTAGGCCCTCAAACTGTCCCAGATGAAGCATCCTAGCAAAATCTTCCAGAGAAAGCGCTGGTGATTCCATACTCCTAGCTTCGTGGTTTTCCTGGTTGGGTTATTTTTCTGGAGGCTATTGCTATAGTCACCCTCATGGCGCTCGCCATCAAATCTATGGTGGCAAGTTACATACATAGAAGACTCAAGGTAAATTATTCCTGGAC